CCTTATTTACATATTTTTCATCAACGTTAGCTCAAGTGTATTTAAATTTAAATTGATACTAACTTAAACGTAATCAAACATTGGTTTAATTCTATAGTAATAATAACAAATCACTATTTTGAAATTTTTACCTTTGTAAGTACTAATTTATGATTTGAATATGGAGTTTTTTCTATATGGAGTATAAACTATCAAAGTTTATAGTTTGAAAATAATAAGGAGTTTGATTTTGAGCCTCTTCAACAATAAGCACATTTTCGCACCCATAAAACACAACTATCACAAGTTTCCCATACATTGCCAGATAAGTTAAATCTTAACTGTTACAGCGATACCTTTTATCTTAACGAGTAAAGTTACCTCGCCGTCAGTAAATTACCTGGCTACTGGAGAATATTGGGAGGGTTGGAATGCGTGGCTGTACGACCACCCTTGCTTTCTCGCACACACACACACTCATTGAAACTATCAGGGAGGTTTGGACGGCCCTTTATTGTCCCTCCTACGCTCTTATGAAATATTGACCTTTAGGTAGTACACATGCAGGTCTGGCAGGCCGGGATGAAAAGAAAATGATAGGAGGAGATGGGTAGGATATGAAGGGAAAAAAATAAGATAGAAAGAAGCAACTTCATATTTAAGTGGAATCTACAGCGTCATAATTTATCGGGGTGGCTAACAAATGGATATTCCTCGCAGATACAACACTAAAAGCTTATAAAATAAACTAAGTTTCGCCGTTGTATTTCTTTGTATTAGGACGTTTTGCCGCCATCAGTTATATCCGGTTCGGTTCACAGCCGCTGCGAGGCCCTAACCGAAGGCCGATCCGGAAAACAAAATATCGTCTCTCGACAAAGAACTAATGAAAAATGTTCCGTGCTCTCGTGAACATAAACGATGTGTCAAATGTATAAATAAAATATTGAAAAATCGCCACGGGCACGGATAACGTATACACAATAACATCCTCCGCTCGCAAACAATTTTTAACAAATTGACAAACACAAATATACAACGGCCGCCGTTGCTCTCCATTCCACTCACGAATTATTTATATGAAAACAAATAATATCACTTGTATTCAAGTGTGCCGCGTCGAATGAATTATTTAGAACTTTGGATGTAAGCCAGAATCACCACTGTGAACAATCATATATATATATATATTTTTTGCTTGTAATATATTGACAAAATATGTAAACAGAACATATATACCATGCTCAAATACATATTATTATCTACGCACGTAGTTAGATATAAACATAATAAACACATTTCAAAAAAAATATATAATATTTTACAGACATTTCTTACTACAAATGGGCTATTTCAGACTCTTCATATAAATATATTGCAATTAGTCTTCTTAAATATTATCAATGAATGAATGAATTCTAATATAGTTTTAATGTATTAAATTGTTATTTATTGTTGTTTTATAACAAATTTAACACTATTCTTAAACCTACAGTACATTTTAACTTGCCTCTCTGGCTTGACCAGATTAATCCCTCTATTACATAAATAAAGAAATAAATTACATCTTTCATGAATATTGCTTTGTACAATCTTATAACCTAAAATGTACTATCTGTGAACAGGTCCGGTGTAACCACATAAGACATATTAGTTATGACATATTTATAGCTAATACTAAATATAAGTAATAACCCTACAAGTCGTAAGGTAATATTTCGGTAATATTGTGGAAAGACACAAGAAATTGTAATGACTATAGAAATAATTATTCTAAATAATAATTTATGGTATTTAGTAATCTAAATAAAGTATTTCTTTACTTAAATCAAATCTGAACAAAACGAATTTAATGTCAAATGTGAATGAACAGAAAGTGCATGGTTGTGATATAACATTTATTCGAATGTCTAATAAAACGTGTTCTCTTATTTTCTGGATTTTCTGAGAACAGGAAAAGCCACTTGCGTACTAGCTCTTTCAATATCATCGTACAAGTGGGTATAATGTTATATAATCAACTTTATGCAGGGATATCTATCCACCTAGTGCGTGGGCCAGCCTGAATACGAAATGGTCGATTCCCTGGATAATCGCAGGCATTTTGCATGGCCCGACGACTGTGTGCAGAGATTTGTATCAGCGTCGGCTTAACCCTGTCGCGACTTTATTACGTCCATTACGTAACTTAGGCAGTATGCCAATATGGCGTACTCTAATTGTCGCTCGGGTTTGATTTTTCCTACTGGTGCTGCCGGAAAATGGGAAGTCGTCGTTGCCGTCAGAGACGGCGCGGAATGCGTTTTATGGTTTGCACGTGTAACTGAAACAATTAAGTGAGAAAACTTCACCTTTCTCGTTTCCGCTGAGTTAGTACTATATCGTGTATGCAGCGTAATAAGTTTATAAAATAAAGTGCTATTGTTGAGTAGCGAGATACATCTTCGGAGGGTAAATGTCAGTTTTAATTGTATCTAATAAATTCCAGCCACATAAGGACGTTAACAGTGCCCCATTAATAAGTTTAATGAATTTCCACACTCCTAACACTATATATTTTAACAACTTTGCTAATAAATAGAAGCATAATTATTTCATTGCGTAACGGTGTTATTCGTTAGTTAGACTCTTCTATCGTAAATTAATCCGATCATCAAAATATTAGCTGCTGGCGCTACAACAATTTGTAATTCAATTGTACAACTGTAAATGTCATTGGTTTGCTTTTGATGCAGATCGGACGATAATACTGTCTGTCCAACGTATCGAAGAGAGATTGATACGACGTCCTCTACTGGAATGGACACCAGTCTAAACGATCAATCGATACCTAATTGCCAATGCTAAAACTCATTTGTTCTGTGTCGGTACACGCAAATGTAAGTTCGACCCTGCCAGAACGTAAAAAAAATATACTGAAAAAAAGAGAACGAAGCACTTAAAGTGTATTATAACTGAAGGGCCGGCATTTACGAGCGGCGGAGGATTGAGGGGAAATTTAACAACTTCTAAGCTCTCGAGGACATATGTAAGCTCGTAAAGAAAATTTCTATATGTTTCCTTTCGCGTCCCAAGGGTTCGTAATTTTGTTTATCTTTATCGCCAGATTTACAGCGCCAGTTCCGCATATAAATATTTCTTAATTGTTTCCAATTAAATTAAACTTTTTACGATAACTTTCAGTGTTCATACCAAGATGTTATTACACACCTTCGAGTTAAGGAGTGTCGTGTTTTGCATGTTTCTCCCATAACTGTTTTATGTTGCTAACCATTTACTGTCTAAACAACATAAAATTATACTTAACACTGAAAAATTGCAATACTGACCTGTCAGTTACCAAGCAAATTACATAATTGCTCCATTTGATTATACCTTATTGTTTCATTCAATATTTAACACATCAATCATTATTTTGAAAATCATCGTACAAGATTTAAGCATATACAACATATTTCAAAACATTGCGCCATCTTATTTTTAAAAGCAATAGGTCTATTCTTGCGCCCTCTACAAACTTATTTGAGAAATTGTAAATCAAGGAATAAAGGAATCTCTTCTAAAAATAATATACAAGTGAAATTGGTATAGTGTTAAAGATTTGTAATTAATTGTCTTACATTAATTGTATTACAAAATTAAAGTTGAGAATTCAAATATGTTATAAAAAAAGAACACAAAACCACAAAATAAATTCAGTCTTAAACTTTATTGACAAATTAAAAAGAAAATGTTACTAGAAATAGTGCTTCAATCTTCTTTGTAATAAGCTCTCACCTGAAAGAGCGCTTCTACATTTAGATGCCCTACGTCAGGTATGTGTGCGGTAGAGGGCTGTAATCATAAAAAAATGTTTGTAGCAGTGTATAGTTGGTTGCATATCAGTTTCTAAAGTAAGGCTATTGGCTAATGGAGGGCAGAAATGTAAATGTATCCACATTGATAATCGACCAATCGTACAGCTTGAGGGAGTTATGTACTGATTTTTCATAAAATGTACTGTTTAAAAATACTGCTTTACATTATAATATTAAAATAAAACTCGCATATTGAAGAACATGAAAGTATTGGTTGAATAGTAAAAAAAATTGTCATTCGCTGTTAAAATAATATCTAGAAAATCTTTTTTTTTAAGAATTAAAAATTATATTTAGAAATGTGATTTTATAAAATTTATAATTAAATTCTAATTACCGTAATCACCGTATCTGATATAATTTTATTCATTCTCTTCTATACTCGAAATTATGCTCTGTGTGTACTAAAAGATTGCCAAAAGAAGATACAGAATATTTTATTTATTGATAGAAAGTGGTAATAAGAAAATGTTAAATATTGTATTTTAATCAATTTATTTATTTGGAAATAATAAATACACAATATATATTTATATAATCTTACAACAAGTAAATAAAGATCAATATTCTTATTTTTATTTCAATAGCATTATGTTTAGCTTAAAAGTACAGCTGTTAAGGGCTCATACGCTAATATGTAGAAGTAATACTTTTTTTTTTAAATTTATTATATTGTTTTGACCCCACGAGTCCGAATACACACAGCTTCGTATGTAAACATTTTACAAATATTATTATTCATTCATTATTAGTCTTAATATTATGTCCGGTTTTATTAGCAGCCGTGTTTTCACATTTATATGTAGAATAGTCCTTAAGGTGTATGTACAGTTTGTACAGATATTTGTGCTATGGCACTCCCCGGGAACGAACAAAACAAACGTCATATCAACAATTTCCATTCCTTAGTTCCAATCAGTCTATATACATATACAAAACAAAATTAGTAAACATTGTAAAATATGTTTAGTAAATAAAAACGATCTCGATAAAAATCTTTCCTAAATTCTCGACTAGATAAAATTTATCATTATTCATTACTTAACATTAATTTACTTATGCTAATAACTTCGTTTAATTTATTTATGATCCATTTCGTTTTATATTCGATAAAAAAAAATATAATACGTAACATTTATAAATTCAAGATACACCTTCTAAATGTATATTATAAATATTATGTAAAAGGATATGATTTGTGCTGTCAGGAAATGCGTACTGGATATGTTACAGGATTTTAATTACGGCTATAGAAAGTTAAACATTTAGATGTAGTTTATCTCTTTCAGATTCCATTCGACGCGCGTCAATCTTAAAATACTTATTCACACTTTATTTACAACATACTGTAAAAGTTGTATTCGTTTAAACGCAGCTTTCCTGCTGACATCCCATGAGCGGCGTTCGAATGGTAACTACTTCTCGGTGGTACATTGACGGTTTGACGGGAAACAGAGAAGAAACCGGAGATAATATGGGCGATGGCTTAGCGGAAAGTGTCGAGACTGGCTGATGGTTCTTGGTGTGATCAATCTGTGCGTAAATAATTGACTCATCTCGAAGCTTCTGAGTCGGGAACTGATTGCCTACATTTTTTGTTGTGTCCAGGGTGTTCGGTCGAGCCAATGACAATTCTGCGTAAGTAACTTCGTTAGTGACCTACAAAGAAAATAAATTAATCGATTGCTGTATAAAAAAAAGTAAAAACAAAGAAGCAGACAAAGAGTAAACAATTTGGAAGCGTGCGTTTAGGAGTTGGTGCAATGCCATTATGAGAGCTTTCTAAGGCACTTACTCTAATTAATAAACATTGGGGTAAGCAGTATAGCGACCCTACAAAATATAAAATAACAGAACGGGTTTTAAATTAAAACAAAATAAAACTATATAGGTAGAACATAGGCAATGTGTCTACTTTAAGCTCAATAGAATGTTTGCAGTTCGGTTTGGCCAGTTTTAACTTACATGCTGTGGTTGGTACTGGCGATCTCGGGTAACATAAGCTTCGCTAAGTGGAGTAATGATCCTTTGTCCTTCGAATTCGTTGTTCACGGCAACGCTATTATTAGGGCCCGGGGTTTGTACTTCGGAGCCAAGTTGATAATCGGAATCTGCAAAAAGGAAAGACACTAAAAAGTGCCCCGAGAACTTTGATAGTAGTGTATTCATTTAAACGAGTTTGTTTGTTTAATTGAGTAATTTGAGTAATTTGGGACTCACATTAAATCAGGTTTCGATTTATTTCATTTAAAATATTTGTATGTGAATGTGTGTTCTGCGACAGGTACCTTTATTTGCGGGGACTACGTCCGGATTTTTGTCATCCATTTCGTATAAATCTTCGGTCTCTGTGCGCAAGGGCAAAGTGGCCTTTTCCTTAACAGGGAGGAATCCAGGGCGGATAGCATGTGATCCATCTCGTCGAGTCGCCCTCAGCTTCAAGGCGGCCAATATAATAACAGTGACGCAGAGAAGAGCACTGACGATGCCAATTAAGATACCCAAAATTGGTGCAATTTCCATTTGGTCTCGGGTCCCAAGAGATAATACTGCAACATGGATTCTAATTAATTTCTTGTGCCACGTTTTATTACTTCTATTATTCCTCGAGCAAAAAACAAAAGAAAGTAATGTGTGAAAAAAACAATAGCAAATAAACAAAACAAGTACATGAAGCGAATAGTTTAGCATCGAGCAATCAGTACGAAGTGCTGTTTCGGCATTGTTTGAGCTCAAACAATTTACACAATGACCGATGTGGAGCACAAACAGAGAGTATAAAACTTCATAGGAATTGTTCGCAAATAGTTTAGGAACAGTTTCACGCTGTGTGTACATCGGACGAAGCAAATTTCATATTGACACTGTGTAAAACATAGCCCTCAAGCTATTCTTGAACATTATTAGAGCCATTAATAATGCCATGAAGATGGATTTCGCGAATTCAAAATGGTCCGTCTCTAACCTGTTTGTTTTTCAGCTACTTTCAATGTAAATCCCTCTAGCGTGATCCCTTCACTGTGGCCCTTTGCGTTGGCTGCGTAAACCATCATTTTAAGCATTTTCCCAGGTTCTAAGCCACTAACTGTGAATAGAGGGAACTTTGCGGAGACATTAATCTGCAATATATCATTCTGCTCGTCATACACTTCTAGCTGGAAGTATTGGGTGAGGCCGCCATCAAAGCCTTCCACGCATTCAACTTCCAAAGAGTCGGAAGTCTGGTTGAGGATGCTGCAGTTGTAAGGTGGATCCGGTTTGCCCGCAGCGATTATATGAAAGACGCACGGCTCCAATTGACGGCCAGCTAAATTACTAGCCCAGCACATTACAGTACCATAATCCAGCTCTGATACCGGCGTGTAGGATAGGGTCGATGATGAATGGTGAACGTCTGAATTGTAACGGGTTTGCGGTACTTCGATGGTTTCAGCGGTATTATTGAAAGACCACTTGAAACTGTCTGGAAGCGGATAGGATTCCACTTCACAAAGAATCTTGGCATTCTCATGCCTTGCAACCCCGTAAACTCTCTTATGATCCGATCTACATATCGGTTTATCTGCAAAATAGATAGAAATAACCATTAACACTATTAAGATCATTATCTCGGCGGCCACTTACACATGATTTTTAATTCGACCACGTTGCTGTCACCGTCCCCTTCGACGTTCGAAGCGACGCAGGTGTAATTACCTGCTTGATTACGGGAAACACCCTGCAGGGCCAGATCACTGTTGCTCATAATTATACCGGCTTTCTGGTTCTGCTGCATCACTTGGCCCTGTAATGTGGAAACGGCATAACGAATTATTTCGCATCAAAAAATCTGTATTAATCCCCCCCACAAGCTTCGATGATATTTGCTAAGTGCCAAACATGAACAGAAAAATGTTCAAGGCGGAAAAGGAAACGAAGGCCTTCGCTCCGTAGGATGTGACATGTTTCGCTCGGTATTGAATTGCAAATGGCATTCATGAAATTAGCACTGTTTGCTGAACTGATTTTCAGCTCAGCTTTTTCTGTGTTTTCCATCACATCCGTTTTGTTTGTGTGCAGTGCAAAAGGAAATTGGAAAATTATTACGTTTTCCGTCGAATTACATTACAGCCAATCACATTTCATTCAACCTTCGGTAACGCCGCCACTATTTCATGGAATTCCTTCCTTGGCGTAACGTAATTTGTTTACTTCCACTTCACCAAATTATGTATAACAAAACAGTTATGTTCCTTCTCTTGTAATCATACTACTTTACAAAAAATATATTCATCCCACTTACACTAGAATACGATTCTTCGAATTCCATACAATATTCATATTTCATCAATTTATCAAACAAATTATTTATTCGCAAATATAAAAGATCATAACTACATGTATTCTGCTATTTGGCATTCTGTGAAGACTTTGCTAATTGAACAATACAATGCATTAAAGTCAATGTTTGAGGTTGTTGTTGTTAGTAAATAAACATTTACGTTGAATTAGTCCTTAAATCACAAATGAACAGCTTATTCGGCAGAGCGTGCGTTCGGTTCTATGTACAGAAATAATTATTATATCAACTACTTTAATAGAATAAACTTTAACAAATATCAGCAAATATTCGTTAGTAGTTGATATCATGTGTAAATTATAACATTTGCTTAGTATACAATTGTCATATATTTAACTCGAAGGTACTTATGTCATAGAATTCAAAACTCTTAAAAAAATATATAAGATTTGTATACAGAATAAATGTTCTGTGAATATTCAACAACTTATCGTTATATGGGAGCAACTGTATTTTCATACTTAATGTTGTTAACAAATTAAAAGGAATATATTATAGAGAATGGCATTATATTTTTAAGAGATGCAGTAAATTTGCGAGTAAAGCATTGTCCTAATTGATTGGTAAGTCGATGTAATAAATTGCAATGTGTAAAGTTTTGGAAAATTGATGATGCAATTCACAATATTTGCGTGATATAGTGTTGACATTTCCTTAACACGTTCTGTATTCAGAGGCTGATTGAACCTGTGCGGCAGGGGGCGGCGAGTAAATGTGAGCAATATATATTCCGGCATATAAAGGCACAACGGGGCCCCCTTTGATATGTAATTGTCACATGTTTAATATAATGAATTGTTTAGGCAATGCTTCCAAACAAAACCCACATTTTGAGTTCGCCTCATCCTTGCATATCTATCTCTTTCTGTGCTTGCGTATGTGTGTGAGTGTGTGTGTGTGTGGACCTGAGTGAAATATCTGGTACTTATTTGTCTTTATCTCCGAAGTAACGACCGCATACTTATCTGGCAGCGAACAGAACTACAATTAATAAACGAAGTTTGGTCGTTGCGAAGTTGCGGGTAATTTCGTAGCAGCTTCACACACACATAGCATCTGAAATATCGTGACGATCCGTAGCACACGTCCTGCGGAGTTCCAGTCTGGGAAAAGGCCCGTGACCTCGGTTATATCATGTCCTCACACACGCTACTCCTGTTTATTATATAGCGGGTGGAAACGCAACAATAGTAATTACAGCTGAAAGTCTGGACGTGTCTACGAAGTATCCGCACAGCAGCATAACATTCCAGGAAACGCTGGACTTTAATAATATTGTTTTTGTTCTTTTTTTTTTGTTGGTCCATCTCGTTTCTTCCTCTCATCTCCTTTAGCACTAGCAAAATCGTGTGCTCCCTTTCTAATGTCTCCTTAAACTGTACCTCGACGACGTGAAAAATGTATCTATCCCAGTGGGGTGATATTATACTGAATCTTGAGCTAAAGAAATTGTTCCTTTGGAATTGTGCTGGTGACACCGTCACGAAACTGTATACATTTTTAACTTTAATCGTCCATGCAGGCAGTTTCTACATCTAATATTAAAAATATGCCCACCAACAAAATATATTCAGTACATCAATAAAAAATACAAACTTAAGTTTTGTTTTTATAGCCCTTTTTAACAATATGAACGTATTTAATTCTATTGATATTTTTTCTTTTCATCTCGCCCTATTATTTTTCCATCAATTTCCCTCGGTGTGAACTCAAATTAAATGTGTCCATTGAGCGCAGATGCTATAATTGGTATATTCATTATTTTTTGCTACTGCTTCTAAAATTGTAACCTTTTATAACAATTTATCGCAGTTTAATTGCTTCTCCGGAATTATAACTGTTGATGGTTTAGTTAAATGAGATATATTCATACGATGATATATATATTATTGTATATTTATTTATTTTCATTTTCCTCGTATATCTTGAAAATGCTCCACCACGTTATATACAATACCTTAATATATCCCATAAATCTTGAAGCAAGTATTATTTTTCCAACAGTGGAAAATTTATAATGTGTGAAATATACATTCGAACGAATTCTAAAGACACACTGAAAAAGAGATAGACTGTTTGAGAGAGAAAATGTAAAGAAGAATGGAAATTATTTATGATGCTCAAGAAGTGTACCTATGCAGAGATTATATAACCTGATCATCCTAGCAGTTGGACGGGTGATCTGACGTGGAATGCAAATGCTTTGTGTATTGATTTGCTGCAATTTGATTATTACATCGCGCGGTAGAAAGTTGAAAATTTAAGATGCCACCAAAACTCAGCAATCTTAATAAATTCACCGCAAAGTACTGTAAGAGTTGTACTTTAATTTCCGGTCATCGGAACTTTTCCCAAGAAGGGGGCGCGCAGATAAGGAAAGACGCAGTGGAAGTGGTTTCCGTGAAATAAAAGTTGCCGGATTCATTTGCCGTTTTCTACAAGTCACTTAATACATATATCTATATATACAACGCTGCTGCTACCGCTTCCTGCTTTTTTTTTTTGCTCTCATCTTTTCGTTCCAATCAAACCCCTCTGTTTGTCAACTCATTTCGTCCTGCTAACAATTCCACAGGCTCACCGGATGTCCCCACTAGGCGAATGAGTTCCGAAGAAGATATTCAAATTTAATTAACTTCTATTTTAGAATATGTATATGTGCATTATTAAAATTCCGAAACAAAATGAAATTCCTGAAAACTTTTTTAATTATACCTAAACACATAAATTAACTTATACCATTCACAAAATACCCTATACCCCTATGCTTACAAACGCAGTAACTCATTTTTGTATATTAAAAATATGAATAGATTTTTAGAAAAAATAATGACTAGCAATAATCACATTTATAAAGTTTAACATTGTTCCTATCTAATTACGTTTCCTAATATATTAAAATATTTGATATTGATATGAAAATTCGAATTGAATGATGTAAAATATAACATTTTTTTTTATAAATTATTGATTATCTACATTTAATTTGCAAATTAAATTGTTCAGCATTTAAATTTGTATTTCTTCATAAAAAAAATATTGGAAATTAACAGTGAAAATAGTATTACTATCAGTATTAACTTTTATCTGTATTATCTGTAATTAAATTGATTTAAATTAGTTTAAAATATACCAATATCTTTGTTTGTATACAATTTAGTGACATCGTTCCCGCTGAAACACATACTGTGCATTACATCGTACAATTACATCTACAATAGAAATTCCTTGGTATATTGCTTTGCAAGTGCTTTGTAGTGGTTGCTGAGGTAAATTCCAACGGGATGATGGAACGTCAAAAATCGTTTACAGACGTATCATTTTATCAAAAGAGAGTTATAAATATCAGCGATCAGTGAGCACAATTTAGCATGGATGCCAGTGGTCCGGCTATTCCCGATTTCAGCGCACAAACAACGTGTTATCTTAGGATAAAAATGTATCCATTTCACTCGATAGCATTACAGCTCGAATACACAAAGGTGAATACATATCTATTTAGAATGTTATTCAGACTACAAAGGTTTTTGTTATATCGCACCACAAAAATTATTTATGGAATATTCAGATCTGAGGATTTTGTTGCAAAAGAAATATTTCCGAATCAAGCATTACAAACATACAGAAATATTTTATGCTGATGTATCTTAGTCGATGTAAATAAGAAGTATTATGATAACAAAACTATCCTTAGTTATCCTTTCAAATAGACCAGAGGTGTCCAAACTACGGCCCGCGGGCCAAACCCGGCCCGGCAGGCGATTTTATCCGGCCCGCCAAGTATTTTGAAAAATTTCTTAAAATATGGCGCCTCTGATATAGACTAATCTTTAGTATTATTCTACGCGTACTATATGTTACATTCATTAAATTAATTTATTTGAATGAAATGCATTTGTATCAACAATTTAAACTGTAGTTATTTGTCAACACAAGGGCGACTAATAGCCGAATGGTTAAGTCGCCCTACTCACGATCGAAGCGGCGACGGTTCGAATCCTGGTCAAGCCAGACCCTTTGTGGTGCTTGCAGCAATAGGGCCATCGTTCATCACAGATGTACAGTCAAAAGAATGAGGTTCAGCATATGGACCTTCAGACAAGTCGATGGACAATGACTGTGTTATGGATAGCAGCATATTCACAGTCGTATGAAAAGTAGAATCGCAGAGCATCAATATACTACTGAAGATAACCTACAAGACGACAGCTAACCAACAAATTAAAATAAAATCATCATAATGGAAACTATTCACCGGGAAAGATTATCCATTTAATGTCAACCGCAATCTTATTGATGAACATATTGTGAATAAGATTAAAAATTGTGAACATTTTTAATGATAACACTAATATTTATATAATCCATATGCAATGTGTAATGAAATCTATAAAAAAAATACATCAATTTTTGTATCTTGTTTGTAATTTTACTTAAAGTAATTTATTTATATACAATCTAGTGGATGCGCCGGGTAAAAAAGGCAATAAAAAATTGTTTTACAATTTCAACGCTTTTCAATATTAAGAGTACAAAAATTATATTTATGGTAATTGTTCTTCAAAAATGACATTTGTATTTTATATCATTTATTTTTATTTTGAGATTTATAAATTACATTACATTATAGAACGCATTCTAAATCTGAATGTTTAAAATTTAGTCATACACGATAGTTTAGAAAAATAAAGAAGAAGGATATGGATAATAAAAATAATCGCCAAAATTGTGAGACTTAAGAGAATCTAGGTATGCTGCGACGTTCATTATCGTTGCGGCATACCAATTATTTTCCAATTAAGTCGAAAGTACAATAAGTGAGAAGTATAGCGTGCTCTGAGACAAGAAAGGTTGAAAAAATATCATAAAAATTACTGCATGTACTCGGTTTATATATCATTACTTAATGGTTCTTTTTTATATAGTAAATCGTTAAAGTTAATTGCAGATATTACGTGACGACACAAACACGAGTAGTCCGTGACAGACAAACAGAATATTTTCTTCTTTCTACAAATTAAATATATATTTTATGCAAATCAATTTTCTCCGTTTTATATATAATTATAAAATAAATAATTTCACCCACTGCACGATATCTACTAAATAATTTGTATACTGTACACTGTAGGCATACATCCAAACATCATAAATAATTAGTTTGACAAATTCAAATACAAATAATATATACTCATATATATGTAATTGGTTTTAATTGTTATGACAGTGCAAATGAAATAATTCTTTGTAAATTTGCGAATGTGTGAGATATGATTTGGAGACAAATTCGTAAACCATCCAGCCGGCGTATTTTTTCTTCCCTAAAAGGAGTCTTTAACGACTATTTTAGCATCTCTTGGAAGACGTTCAACAGTGAAATCACGTATCTAAAAGGGTCGCCGCGAAAGTAATAATAATAAATTTAACTACTCACATTATGCTTCCAGAGCACTTTGTAGGCCCACGGATTGGCGTTCACTTTGCATTCAAAATACACGTCGTCCCCTTCTTCGATGTCATCCGGATTTAAATTCGAGCCCAACGATAAATGTAATATTGGAATATCTACAAGAAATATATTACATAAACTCTAAACATTAATATAACACTAATAAATACTAATTAAATTTAAAGTTCTAATGAAACATAACACTTGAAAAATAGCAGCTTCGTCTGAGGCTGTACTTCCAACTGACTCAGTTTTAATTTTGGAATATTTTCTGAGAGTTTGAAACTTACTTATACTAATCAACATTTCTAATCTCAATTATATGTAACGTAATTGATAGATTATGTATAGAAATAAATCATTTTGATTAGATATTTAATAAGCGTAAGTGCAAAGTACTTACAGAATACGTTAAGCTTGATGGAATTCTCTTCTAAGCCACCTTGAACAAGTGGGTTTACTGCACGGCAAGTGAGCATCCGGTCGTTGTCTAGACGAGTCGGTATAAACATTAACGTTGAGGTGCTCGTATTTCCGTCGGCCGAATCCTGAGGATACGATATAAGACACTTTAGCATAGGAATGTAGCCGTTCGCTGTAGACGTTGATGTGTTATACACCTCAAAGTTACTATTATTAAAGTAAAATTGCATATAAATTCATTACAGTCGTTTCGTCAAAACAGATGGACAAAAAAAGTTAGTTTGAAATTCGACCAATTTCCATCGTAAAATACGCTCCCTGCAATCCTAATCATCATAACAATAGTGAAATTCAGCAAATCATTTTTCGACGTCACAGATTTGAACGTGCCAACAATGGAATCCATCGACACAAAGGCCACAAACCCACTACCATTTTCGCATTTCAATCACTGCACATGTGTGTGAGCCAGAAACTCTCGAACAGATAGACAGACAACATACTTAAATTGTTTAATAATAATAATACTACTAAAAACTAACTGCAATGAAAATGATAGTTTGTAAATTACAAATCCCGCACACTAACCGTTTGAGTATAGTTGAACTTGTCGGATTTAAGCTCAACCCCATCCATCCACCAAGATATTTTAGCGGTCGGTCTTGATCCAAAAGTCTGACAGGGAATCTCGTACATCCTGTCAGCTGAGAAGGGCTGATTACTGCTCAGAATCTCCACCTTCAACGGCCGAACTGAAACAAGATTATATAAATATACATGTAAAAAGTATTCCTTTAGAACTGATGCATCTCAAAGAGCGCTTTTCATCTTTAATCCAGTGAAACAGTTTCGCTGCAGGTCTCGTCCGTATTCCTCTTTATCCATTTTTAGTTCTATATATATATTTTTTTTTATAAATGATTGATAATATTTTCGTCAACGCATGAAAGACGAGAAATATCTGAGAAGTTTCCACGCGAGTAATTACTTTTTCAAAAATTACTGCCTGCCATGCAAAAAAAAAGAGGCAATCGATCGCCAGCACCCTCTATTATTTATTAAGAACGTAGCCATGTTAGGTTAGGTCGCATGCATCGCCCTGGATATACGGCAGGTCCATGTTTTATAAGTTAAACAGCTATTTAAATACAGTACATTATCCTCCGGCACAGGAGTTTCTATTTTCTTGTATTATTATCCGTACCTCTCTTTTTTTTCCTTTCTCTTACAGTCTTATTTTCCTTCAAAATGTTATTTTCTTCGTTTTACTTTATTTCGTTTTCTCTTTTACAGTTTTTTCTCGCTCTCTCTCTCTCTCTCTCTGTCTCTTTTCATTCTGCTTCGAGCTTTTCCCCATGAATAAAGCACAGATCTTTACGTATTCAATTAGTCCCATAACGAGTCCCAAATTAATCTCATTTTAATATAAATTAACCTAATCAAACTCGACCCATATAACGTTCCTAACTAGCACAGCATTTCGGGTAATCGCCAGTCGTAAATCTCAAGATATATAATTGAATGAAATTAGATCACCTTTTTATTTTAAAATTGAAAATATAAGTATAATTAAAAGAAACTAATTAAGCATTTTTCTTAAAACGGCATTTTATAAACAAATATAATGTAAATATGAATACTTTGACAAATAACTTTCTCAGGATCAAATAGGATTAAATATTTGAAATAAGAACAATAGTCCTTTGGACCAATAAAAATTCTAAATAAATAATAGGAACATATTCTATAATCTATTGTAGTCTGAATTCTAAAATCATTCAATAAAATTTACAGATGTCATCGATTTCTTTAATATTATATTTGAAAAGTAAAATAATTTCGAAAAATTTTGTAATTTAAATAATATTAAAATATAAGAAAATTGAAAGGTCAAATATAAGTCAAATACATTTGAAATTGAACGTCATTTTAGGTTAAATATTTACCTAATCGATTATAATATAAAACAAGTATATTTACTGTGATAGTAAATATCCATCGAAAAATCAATGTTCCAACCAATCGAATTATACTGGAAAAAGTTAACAAAAATATTTTCCGAATTCTTTTTCGACGTAAATTGAAAAGCCATTTTTGGGACGTGATTTATAGAAATACCGGACCCAAAAAAAAAGGTAATAAAAGCAAAACTGCTATTTGCACGCACTCGCGCGTACATCCGAATGCAATACAATTAATTTTAACAAAAATAAAAAAAAATAACATGAAAACCATGAACAGAACGACAAAAATTTGAGCGACATTTAATGTTCAGATTAAACATATAATGGGTAATTAATAGAATGCGCTTGTATAGAGCAATCAATTGTAACGGTGAGAGAGAACAAAACTCTAGCATATTGATTTAATTCGGCGATGCATTTTTTAAATTACAAACATACTCCCACATTGTACGTATTTATAAATTGGTATTGTATCGTTCGATTGATTCGCAGAATGAGCGTGCTCAAGTTACTAATTACTTCGAACTACTAATTTTGGGATATACACAATTCAACAACTATTCCACTTTATTATAATGCTACGTCCACACTATATGTAATATAACACATGAATATCATATCAGTTCAGGTTTATGTAAAATGTTGAATTTAGACATTTTTGTGATGAATTCCCTGAAATTTAAATTTTCGATAAATTGCTTTCTTTGTGATAATCTGATAATGCGCCACTGCATTAAAATCAATTTTAACTAAAAAGTTGGAAGCACTGAGATCTAATCGGGATTGTAATACAAAAAAAAAATCTGACAAAAATAATATTAGAGTAAAAGTGTAAAAAGAATAGTGTGTAATATCTGGAAAATTGCTTACGTTAGCAATTTGCATGATATTATATTCGAAAAATAAAATATTGTCCATAAGAGGACGCAGTATGAAAGGTAATGGAAGAGTATGAGGCGGATGGTGAAAGCGAAATGTCGCACGCTGGACATGATTTAGTGCTTGGCAACGTTAATACAGTTTACTAACGAAACGAAATAACTATTTAAGCTTTCCGAGTGGAGCTTTACAGAGTAGCTACTGCATTACAATATTAATATTCATGAAGGCCGGAGAATGGCAAAACTTGCATATCTCATGCACTCCATTCAGCGATGAACTACACATGTATTACCATATAATAATTTGCTGAGCCAAGCTAATTTCGTTAAACATCCAGCATTGTTTCCGTTATTTCTTTTTCAGTTCTGTTCCTACGTTTTCATTTTGTTACATCATCGGATTCCTTTGATGCAATTGAAATTCTTTAATTGCTTACATCGCAGAGGCATATATGGAACCTTGATTAAATTCCAGGATCTCCGCCTCGCGTCGGATAACATAAGGAAACTCTTTATCATTTCCAGCCCGCTCCATGCCATTTAACAATGGAATCAAAGGTGGAATACTACATTTACATCCTCGCCTTGCCCCTCTAAACAAAGTTTCTATTTCGCCCTCTCCGTTCCTCTCGCCATCGATATCTCCTCTCCTGGGACCGGCAAATAATTCCATTCGGAAAACGGTCGGCTGAGGAAACGCTTCCAAAGACTTCGACAATCTTTGGAAGCTCGAGTAGCCGCAGTCTCATTGATATTCCTGATGCGACACATCGCTCCCGGTTCGTCAAAGACAAATCGGCAACTGGAATGCTAAATTAAAAAATCTTTCCACATCCAAAGCATTAATACAATTAACTGATTTATAATGACTATAATAAATATTATGCTATTTTACATAGTAGTGCCAATGAAATATTACTTTAGTTTAGTTATTTTATTTTTAACCTTTTTGTTATATGGGTCGAGTTTCATAGGTTCAATTATTATTATGAAATTAGATTAAAATAATTAATATGTATACAAAAACCTATATTATATTAAAATATATTAAGACTTAAGAGGTAAAATGATCCATGGTAAAATATTAATAAATAGAAGTTGAGTTTAATTCTTAAAAAGCACGTCTCACGAAACATCAAGAAACTTAAAATATTTTCTGATTTGAAAGGTTGAAGTTGAAGTTTTATTTGGTAAAAGTGTTACGTGTCTCCAGTAACAATATATTGATAGAGTGAGCTAAAGTTGTAATAAAAGATGGGAATATTATGAAATCGAAACTAATATAATTTATGTCCTTACGGTTAGGATAGGGCGTCCCGTACGAAGGCGGCAACCGAGTTCGGATCCTTCACCGCCGCCACCGCTGGCAATATTCACAAGCCATTATGCAGATTACCAACCGGATTTATCGTGTCGGCAAGTTGAACGGTGGAATATAGAACCGTTTATCCACATTAAAACACACCCATCGGTTGCCATCAACAACTTAATAAATAAAGAATCCCACCCATCCAATCTCTGCGCAAATCGATTTCCATTTGGATTATACAAGCATATTCAGTCCAAGCTTTATTTAGATCAGATATACATATTTCTTTTATATGCGCTTGCTTCCTTCGGAGGATTAAATGTACAAGGATAAAAACGCAAATTCCCGAAAGAGATTTTAAGCGCTGCTGGTAAGCTTTTGTGTGCGTCTACCATGTTTATATATGTATTTGAAACGCGAAAGGAAAATAACTTAATCAGATTAAGACTGAAGACATTTACACAGAGTGAGAAGGGGCGTAGTGACGCAGCCGAAGTTGCAAAAGCACATTAACTGTAACTCATTACAAACTTCCAAAGTAACTAACATCTATAAGAAAATGAACTTGTATAACAGCACTTTAATATTTTCTTATAATATACACACATTTTAATTAAACACTAATTAACAATCCATTATTAATTATACTCTCATCTGATGATTCACTTGCAACTTGATGCAGATATAAATATAAATAAAATTTCTTATTCGTTTCAAAAGTCAACATAATCGAAATTATTTCTATATTATCATTACTCCTACTATATATTAAATTTTTACTTTTACAAATTGCAACTTGTATGTAAGATAACAGTTTTTATCATTTTAAATTACGTTAGGAACTTCTCTTATTTAGATATATGATCCTGTAATATCAATAATTTGCAATAATTTAAAAGTTAATTATATAAATTATAATAACAAATATTATTGATTCATAAATTAATGTGTTTTACATCATTTATTCAGCATTGTATTATGTAGTATTTACACAAAGAATATATTGATTTTCAAGCTATATCAACCAATACTTTTTTTTTTCTTTAATAAAAGTTGTACCATAAAACTTGAAAATTCGCTATGAATAAATTACGGTTCGGGAGCCATATCTGAAATTCTGCTTCGTAGGAAATCCATTAAAAACAGGGCGCGCAGCTCGGCTTACGTAATATACCTAGCTGTAAATGCGACGATTACTTACAGTAAATTTCAATGGAAACGGTAGCGGAGACGGGCTGACTGATGTTATTGTTGGACGCTTGACATGTGAATGCCGCGTGCTGGTCCGACCTCTGAAGCCCTTTGATGACCAACTGATTGGACCTAACGTTCTGGAATCCGCTGTGCGTTTCGGTAGAATCGATCAATTTTTCGCCACGCCACCATTTGATTGTTGGCTCCGGTTTTCCTGGAAAAACGAAAAGTTCCTTTCATTATATATGTTGACAATATGTGAATATTTTGATAATATTGTTTGGAATTTGACTATATGATTCCTGTTTCGAGGAGAGGAATTTGAATTTGTACAAATTTGTAAAATAGACGAATTGTAAGAAATTTATGTTTTTAATATGGAAGTGACATGGTGGTAGTTTGGATCCGGTAAACCCTGTATAATGGTTCAGAGAGTGCGGTACTTAAGTGGAAGCCTTTTGGGAAGAAGGAAAGACTATACGGGTGAAATATTACCTACGCCCCATTACGCCTTTCGCCGCTCTGTTTTCCCTTTTAATCCTTCGGAGGGCGAGAGGTGGCAGCGCTTATCAAAGAACCAGGTTATATTGTTGCAAACTGAAAGCAACCCCTCTCATCCCACAATCTTATCTCTTACAAAACGATAATTATTTCCCGCCGAAAAAGAAATGCTTCTTTTTTTCATCGGTCTCGACATTGCTTTCCATTAGCAAATGAAACTTGAAAACTCATTCATCAGACGCTTTAAGTTTTCTGCTCTTTTCATTATAATTTAGATATTTAGTTACTTATACCGTTCTAATATGTTTCTTAAAAGTAATGTATTATAACTAAATGATTTGCTATTTTTGTCCGTCCCCATTGAAATATCTGGAAGTTAATCTGTTGTAAGAGATGTGAATCTACTGTGAGCTGATTTATAGTTAATTGCGCAATTCATTAAATCGCCACCCATTAAAATGATAAGAAATGGGGAGGAAAAAGAAAAACACGAGGATTGGCGAGTGCCCGTCAGATCGATTACTAAGAACAGTATAAACAGGATGCACACAGAGAAAGGTCTGCATTTAATATTTGATGGATGCGATGTAAAAGTAATTTAAATGCTTTATTGAATGTTTTACTGCGAAAATTTATGACTGCGTAATTCAGTGGGAGGGATAAGTAAGAAAGTCTCCCGCGGGACATCAGCTTCTTTATGATCTTGCGGCGGCATTCATTTTTAACCACATTTTATATAACATCTGCAAGAGAAAGGATTGAATCGTTTCCCGTGATTGGCAAGGCAGCGAGGAACATGAGAAGGGATACTTGATGATACACATGCTGGGAAAATGTAAAAGAGTTTCCAAGTACTTTTACTCTCGGTGTTGTTTCTTTTCGCACGCAGTTTCGAGGGTTGGTTTTAAACCCAAAGGTTTATTTATATCTGGAGACTCTTTAGACGGTTCTATTTGTTTTAACGCACTTGAAGATAAAAAGTAAATTGAAATTTTTGCCACCGTTCACAAACAAAAGTTTCACCCTCTTCTCCTTCTCCCTTGTCATGAAAAAAAGGAAGAAGATGAAAGGAAGCTAAACAAAAACACACACAACTTGGTGGAAAATCAATATTTCCAACAGGAAGTAACGACTAAACGAGAAGTAGTAATGAAATCTGTCCATTGATTAATTTACAAACAAACGCTTCTAAAGTACTTACCACCTGTAACAATGCATGTTAGCTTCATATCACCTCCTTCCTCGTAAGGTCCGGCCACAGTTTCAATTTCCTTGCCCTTTTCATCGATTATTTTTGGCTTCTGAGGAGGTACTGAAAGTTGAAACAAAAAAAAATATATTTATTACATTTCTTAGGCACATGTTCATAAAGGGTGCAGAACAAATATATTTCGTAATTAAATAAAATACTTAAATTGATTAAAACTTCGGTTTTTGTGTTTATTAGTATTAATTAAATTAATTTATTACCCTGGAAAAGGTATGCACAAATTAAAAAGAAGCCACCTTCAATCAAAAGGAAGCGACCGTTGCCATCCACAAAGTTTATTTACAAGTAACCTGCGGAACGGTTGAAATGTAGGCACGATCTTACCTATTAAAATGCATCGTCCGGTGAATTAATTACACTATATGAAATCTGAACTGGTAATTGATATTGTGCATTTTCTGTACTTAATTCACAGAGAACATGTTTAAATTTCAATTAATTAATAAACTTTTAAATAATTTCTAAATGAGGAAAGTTATATTGTTTTAAACATAAAAGGTAATATTAATTATATATTAAATTGAGTACTACCTCCATATATTTATATTTTAATTAGTAAGTGAACTTTTTACGGAAAACGGTCAATTTGAATATTTGAAATAATGTTTAGATAATTATAAAAAGTAATTTTAAAACGATTTGGGGTAAAATATAAAAGTAAAAATTACTTTAGATCTTAAACATACACAGCTGTTGCTAAATAACTTATTAAATACAGTACTATGGTAACTTCTGTAATACAACAACATCCAATTGTAGACAAACAATATACAGTGAAACCTCGCTTAACGAGCACCTCGCATAACGATTATTTTGTTTAACGAGCAAAATGAATTGTAAGAGAAATAACTCGATTAACGAGCGTCGTTTCGCATAACGAGTGACGACGAGAAGAAAAGTCCCCGCCTTCTACATCATTTTTAAAACTTGTATACACATATTATGTGTATTATTTAATATATTGATCATCTTTGATTTTCTTTTTCATCTTTGTTTAAAGCGGACTTTAATTTGCAAATATAATTTATGTTATTATTATAATATATAAACACACTATGTACGCTTTTTTGCATAAACAAATATTATAAATACAAAGAGACCTCCACAAAGTCCCCGAATTGATACAAGTAATATAAACAAAATCGGTGGCAATCGCAAGCCCGACAACTGAAATCCCTATGTTCGAAATCCCGAGTGTATCGAAATCCCGACTACCATAATCCCGACTATATTGAAATCCCGACAATCGAAATCCCGACAATCTAAAACTCCATAAGAATATTAATTGTTGTTATTTATTGTTAATAACATAAACTAATTTTATTATAGAATATTTTTTATTCTCAAGTTTTATAATGAATAAGACTAAGAAAAAAAAATATAATAATAATTAATATTATTTATTGTTATTAAGAATAAATAACAACAATTAATAATCGGGCAAAAGAGCCATCGACCTAAGTCCTAAAAATATTTTTTTCAGTATCCGTCGGACCTATTAAAATATAGTAGAATAATATAAAATGTTATTGCAGAAATTATAATAATAACAGACACTGTCGGGATTTCGATTGTCGGGATTATGGTAGTCGGGATTTCGATATATTCGGGATTTTGATACAGTCGGGATTTCGATACACTCGGGATTTCGAACGTCGGGATTTCAATACACTCGGGATTTCGAACGTCGGGATTTCGAACGTCGGGCTTCCAATAGACGGTCTTTCGGTTGTCGGGCTTGCGATATAGACCCAAACAAAATGTAAACTCACTTCACCGTGTGTGAATTGGAAAACAGTTCCTAGTGTTAGTGGTCATTCTGGTTGCATTTTAGTGTTGTTTGTGATCACAATATTTCCAAACTCGTGTTCAGACATCTTATTTGTGTTTTTTTTATGTAAGATTTAATAATACTTGCAAGTCTCCGAATAAAAAGCCAAAGAATAAAAAGAATAGGTATGAAATTCAAAATCATTGAAAATCGTTACCAAGTTATACTTTTTCTTTCCGGCAAGGAACGCATTATCGTAATTTATATTAGTTTATATGGGAAAACGTGTAATACGAGTAAAAATTTGGAAGGGATTAAACTCGTTAAGCGAGGTTTCACTGTATTTATACTTAATAGATTAAAAAATAGTACAAACATGAGTAAAGGCATGTTTAAACTGTTAAATGCTGTCATATACATATTTATTTTATTTTATGTGACTTCCGGTTAAACGTAGTACAAAATAAATATTCATATGGCGGCGCCGCTTTGTGAAGAAAATAAATTTAATAATTCCTAATTAATTGCACAAGTCCTTTCCTTTATTAAATCCGACAGACCATTATTCTTAATAACGTTGCAATTTTAATTACAAATTCGTTTTGTTCTCGTTTCGAGCACAGCCGATGGAGGATACCGTCGAGAGGGTGCGTGGGGTTGCACGATATGCGAAACACATTCGTATTTTCCTCCTCTTCCCGCGTATTTTTCTTGCTCCTTCTATCACCAACCACTTCGTCTCCTATCCTCTGATGCTTTTTCTTTCCACCCCTCGTTCAATATTTATTAATGCGAAACTCCAGAAGTTGAGAACATTTAAAGTTTTTAATTGGTAGTCGTAGTCGTTGCACGCAATTCACTCCACTTCTCTCACTCTCACCCTCTATTTTTTTTACTCAGTCGCCATCTCTCTATCTCTGTCTTTCCCGCCCACTTAAATGGATTCCGAGCATCGGTAGGTTCAAACTTGGCTATCCTTTTTTTTTTGGTTTCCACTCGTCGCGACGTACGCAACGAAAATTTACACATTTCGTAAATTAAGCTCTAATTTTCTCTTTCGCTGAAAAGCCTCATGTATAATATAAAAGCTCACTCATATAATTGGATGCCAACTTCTAGATATGGGACATCCGCTCATAATTTATACGTCAACTAATTCCGCTTTATACATCGCTCTCCGAACGTTTTAATATTTCACTTGGATTGCGACGCCCATCTTTCGATTTTCCATTTACGACGTATAAAGAACCGTACCGTACATACGCAGTAGAAAAATAAAATATACACACATTTCTGCATATAATAATATTGCCTCAATAATATTTAGATACAGAGATAGTTTACAAATATTAATCTGCTGCATAAAATTGAATTATAACTAAATATAAATAATAAGTGGAAGCATAATGTTAATTTTATTTCAGCATACTTTCATTCCTAATTATATTTTGCAGTTGTTTAATGGACGAACTTCTAGGCAACACAAAGCTCGTGTAAACAATTAGCATATTGAGAAAAACCCATTAATATCATCAATTACTTCTATAATTATATATTTACTTACGTATGTATATATTATTATCTACTGCTTAAAACGACTTTCTTTTTACTGTAGAGGAGAGGAAACCTTACATAGGGACCACGGGTGCAGTCGTGGTACTGTGGAATTCTTACCGCACTAAAACCATTCCTCTTCTTCGTCAGCATACAGGATCTTTATCACAGTACTACTCTGCGATGCTGATTGTCCTTGCATGTCTGGCACTTCTCTTGGATCATGTTAGTACTGGCCTCGACTGCCACTGTCCTCGTAGGCCCTCTGCAGCCACCGCTCGTCTTCTTTACTTAGTAGCACCTCTATTATGTATGATGATATAATCTCCCAGCCCTCTACACTCTTCAGCATTTCGATGACAAAATTTACCGGCTCTAGCAGAACTCTCAATTGTACCTCTGCGTCGTGTTTCCTTCTAAGCCATCTGCTGCACGTAAAAAGCGTGTGCTCAGGACTATCGTTCTCCTCACAGTACCAGCATATTTCGTCCTCCTTTGCGATAAAGTACAGGTACTTGCCAAAGCATCCATGACCAGACAGCGCCTGGCTCAGGTGAAATGTAGTTCCAAACCTGCTTACAGCTGTATTTGTTTCTACTGTTCGATTGGCTACTGGCCTGATATGNNNNATTCCAAATAATTACACACCTATAGAAGTATACTTTATAAAATTAAATAATTAACATTATTTTTTATTATTTAATTTATAACTATGCTTTTGTTTTGTTGCTATTACTGTTATAATTATTTTTTGAATTAATACAAAAATATGATTTAAAATACAAAATAAAATATGTAATCCAAAATATCTATCGCAACAACCACATAAAGGGTAAAAATAGAAAATAATTTAAAAGCGACGTCCATCTCAATGATTTGTTTCGGTGGCTTTTTAATTATTTAATTTGATAAACGTAAAATATTCTGCTGTCATTCTGCGGAAACCAATTTCGTTTGAATGACTGTAGCCGTTGATTAAAACAAAATGATAAATTATTGCGTTACATAAATATTGCCTATTCGAATGGTTAATTCATTCTGCATTATAAAAAACAATTTTAATTTTGAAATTGTTTTCAGACGTGACAGAATTGTATTAAAAGGATAACAATCATAGATAACCATGTCATCTTTAATATTTAATAAAAAAAGGAAAGTCATCATTTCCACAGTTAATGGAATAAGGATTTTTAATGAAATGTTCCAGTTTGTTAGCTCGCTGCTGTCCAGTAGATGAGAATTAATCGCAATAGCGTTATGTAACTCCGTAAAATAGAAGACTCGACTCTAAACGAAACTGTCTGTCTGTTACTCACTGCAAACGTAAAATAAATATCTTATAAATGCCAACCATTTAATTATTTCGCATGTATTTGAAAAAGGAGCAGAACATGTTTGGATGGAAGTTTTTTTTTTCATTTTGGATGCTATCGATTGTATTTACGTTTGGAAAATAGAAATAGCTATGATTATAAAATAATCCAAAATGAATGGTACCGCAATTACATAAAGCGATAAATAAAACTAATTGAAAGATACCGAATTTTTAAATATTGGGATTCATTGTAAAAGTTAATAATTCGGCAATCAATAAGTGAACCGAAATCGTTCCGGTTCAATCACATCTGAAAAACGGTTCTTTATTTTTATACAATCTGGCGAGTGCAGTTTTATTGGAATTTCCACAGTAAAAATAGGAACAGTAACACTATTTTTTGACTAAAATCCGAGATAATCGACATTGACGATACTGTCGTTGCAAATTTAATATTGGTATAATGGATATTCGATGCGTTGCAATTCCCTGTTTTTTTTTATTTCGATTTTAATGAAGTTGAAAGTTTACTAGCATTAGTTGTGCATTAAATGAATATAATTAAATATATATATAAAGTAATAATAGTAATTTTATAAAGCGTTAAAAAAATGCGTAATATATTATAATCTATATAATGAATGTAGATATTACTATTTGTTAGTATGCAATACATTCGTTAGTCTTATGCAATATATCATTTATTTGCAACATTCAATCAAACATTGTAAATGTCGATATTATCTGTATTTCGAGCATAATCTGCATTATATGAACGCGGAATTATTTAATGCATGAAATAATATTATGCGATTAATGTGCTCTGAATATATTCTAACAAATTTAGGTTGGGATCGAAGCTGCACGGAAATATCGAAATGAATGATGGGGTTCAACGAGAGAACGTGAGACTCTGGGGACCTTTGTTTCAGGTTGTTTCAGTGGGAATTACTCGCAGCGCATATACATAAATAAAAACGAAGAGGAGGTAAGTAAATCTGAAAAATCTGCTGAATGGGAGTCCAATGAAATATGGATAAAGGAAGCTTCGTGAGAAACGCGCGGTTTTCTCTGATGGAAAAGTGTTTACGTGAAGGTATTACATGATGACATTTAGCGCTGACCTTCAGTCGTGGGCGTGGGGCCAAAATGACAAATAGAGTACATTGAGTAATGGCCGCGCAGGGAAGAAAAGTTAATGGTTTATCAACAAGTTGGTATTTTTCCCGAACCTGTATTTAATGCTAAACCATATTTTTCCGTGGAACCTCCAAGTTTTAATTTGTTCAAGTTTCGTATGCGGCGGTAGGTCCTTCCAGCTTTAGCGTCGGATCGATATCGGGTTTATGCGGGGATGCGGGTAGCAGGTGGAAAATATGTGGAGAAACCCTTTACCCATACAGATCAGTTCCATTAGGAAACTTTCATTATTCCCTTTTTCCGTATTCAAATAACAAACTTCTTTTTATCCCTTAAATAGGACTTGGGGAAGTTCACTTGAAAAATATCATAAGAGACGTGCGGGGATGGCGGCCGAGCTTGGGAGGTGTGTTGGGCGGTTGCTCTGGGGAGCAGTCGTATTCAAAGCGTGTCAACGTCTGACATTTATAAGAGAGCAAAAATTACTCTGCACTGCTAAGCGAACTAGTGGCTACAGGAGGGTTTTTGGATTTATTTACTCGAAAACACCAACTAGTGTCAACCTTTTGAAACGACTCTCGAAATTCCTAGAACATTATAAAAAACATCATCGACTTTAAACAAATCTGCAATGACTGAACAGTAGATTTCCTAATAACATTTCACCTATTATTCGTTCAAATTTCTATTGAGAGTTTAGAGCTAACTATTTGGATACAGCTTTGTTGTCATTACATGATCTTATAATAAAAATATTCACATTACCATGCGCAGTGTGGATTTAACGCAGATTTTTTAGAATCATTAATAATTTATCTATTAATATTTGATTGATTTTGATTATATATTATCATGTTTCTATCAATTAATAAATTACGATTCTATTGACAATATATGCGGATACACGTTTGAAGTCAAATCAAGTATGGAGGATGATTTTGGCGTTTATAGGAATTTTGCGACCGAATTTAATTTAGAGCCTACTGATGTAGACGTTCCTCGACAGACTTTCCAAGAGTACGTACATGTAATGACATTAATCCTACAACTTAAACATACAACAACTTGTTAACGAGTTTGCGAATCGCAAAGTTTCTCCGTCTTTCCCCGCCGCCACCGCCGTCGTTGCTGTCGCCCCTGTTTTCGCCGCAATACTTCGCAAGAGAATTATATATTAACTTCGCGAATATTATTCATTCCCGACGTGCCATACATGTGACTGAATACTGTTTTCGCAATATTTTCGTTCTCCTTTTGCGGATCATTTCTATCCAGATTAGTCTTTCAACTTCCAAACAAAACTCTGAGCGTGGAATTTCACTTAGCCCTTTCAAAAGCTGGCATTACATTCCTGCCACATTCAACAGAAAGTGAAACCAGTCCAGATTCCAAGGGGCAAAAGGGGCAAAAGGGAATGTTTTAAATACATCAATTGTTATATAAATTTAATTCATGAAACATTTTGCTTATACCTACTTTCCTCCTATCCGCATGCCTTACACGTAATCATTCTCTAACTGACTTATATCATTAAAAAGTATATCTGATATGCATACCTATAACTGCGAGGATAACCTTGAGATTTTTAGTAGGTGACTTCATGAAATCGATCCGACATCTGTATTCACCCTCCTCATTCTCTGCGATGTTTTCAATGCTGAGTGTTGATGGTTCCGTCATCGTCCTGAAAAATGCACGATTTTCCAGGCTGACATCCTGCCAGCGGTGCGCATTGTTGTTGCTCGTCCTGGTATCATAGCTGGAAACGAAAACAAAACAATAGAAATAGAACATGTCTTCTGAAATCCTCAGGATGAGCCATCGGAATATTATAAATATGCATCAAATGAAATTAAAAGGAAGCTTGGGATTTGGATTGGGTAAACAGAATGTGCAGGGGTATGTTTTGATCGTAGTTTCAGGAAGGACGCAGTACATACGCATACATATTTGTCCCCAGTTTCATGGAAAACGTGTTGTACGTTGATTAGGTCCACATAAATGTTTCGTATCAAAACAACAACGAAGCCCAAACTATTTGCATATTTTAAACTCGAAGCATTTTCGGTTATGCAAAACTGAAACTCCCAAAACACATGCACTGTTTGGAAAGAAAGAAGTATCAATTGCGTGATAATTGTACCAATATCGTATCATAGCACTACCCTAGTATAGTTCCGTTTTGATCAGTCACTTTTCATTATAGTCTGGTTTGGAAATTTCAAAAGAGACTAAATTTTAATTGAGCAAAATAAAATAAAATTTAAAAAAATTACTACACAAAATTATAAATAAATACTCGATTTATACAGTAAAAACTCTTTTTGTGCGGTTTATTTTGTACGTATTTAATTCCTTGATTAGTCCGGTTTCAAATAATCCGATTACCCGGCTATTAAATCTAATAGAATAGTTAACATTCTGACTAAAAATATTTACAAATATTGAGGCTAATGAGGGAAATTCCATTTTAAATTTAATTATTAATAGCTGTCAGTTTTTATTTTTCGTTATTTTTTTCCCATATTATAGCCATAATATTTAAGCTACAAATTTAATTAAATTCCTACATATTTTCACTTACATATTTATTATAACGATAGTAAATTAATAAATACTATAAATGATTTAAACATAGAAAACAAGATAAAATATTTGTAATTAATCCAAAGTGAAGGAAGAAGATCTTTTTTTTTATATATAATTTCGTACATCCGAAGGAAACCTTCATATGGATGTAATATAAAGCAATTGAATGTAATTGGCAGTAAAAGGGATGTGACTGAGAACTTAAAAACATCAGAGCAATAAACGACATCTGCTGGAAACTAATAAAACAGCACATGTGAAAATTGTTTTCGCAATAAAATTACCAATTGCGCTCCGGAGCTTTCCTTCCGAAATATCATCATCGTCATAGCCGCTGCACACGCCCCCTCACAACTGCCGCTTTTAATGGATTTTACCCGAAACTTAGCAGATAATTAACAAAGACTTAAAATATAAATAAAATTGTCTGAACTATACTCTAAAGATTATATAAACCGGGAAGTATATATTTCTACAACTCTTTTTTGTCATTGTTTATTTTATATAACTATCTTTCGATATTTAAATGAATATAAGAAAATCAGATTAACTTTTTGAATTATTTTAATTTGTGTAATCGATTTCATCTTTATATTTGAAGGAAATAAATGTAATCAACTGAAAAGTCTTGATATTATCAATTAAACATTTTCTGTACGCTAGAAATCTAAATACATTTTAAGAATAATAGCTTATGAACAGAAATATTAATATCTAGGTATTATTTAGAACTATTATGTTTTGTAAGTTTATTATGTTATATCGCAATTTATATTTTTGGTCATTAAACTATTTAATGGTTTGAAGATTTAATTTGCTTGATGCAAAGTCATTGTTTTAGTTTATATATGTCATATCATTATTCCATGCAACATTTCTGTAGACATACTTAATCTGATGCATATTTTTATGAACGACGTTCAGAACAGCCGGTAATAAAAAAATATACGTTTTATATGGTTTGCAATAATCCTGGAGGTAACGAAAGGCATAAATGCGGATAGGAACAAAAGCAAAGAACGACCGACATTGGATGAAATTCAATTATCAAAGTAAACAAAATTGTGCATTTAAACATTTTGTTACAGGAAGAACAAAATTGGCGGAATAAAAAACATATTTTGCATAAAAGGCTGCGCGTGTATGATATATATGTATATATAGAGTAATATATTAAACGGCGGATAAGGAAAACAGCGTTCATGGTGATTTCTGTTTTATTAGTGTGCGCGCCCACAGAAAGCAATACTTCTTTTATTCTCGCAATGCAAGATATATATATCTATATATGTATACGCGATACACATATACACATAACCAGTGGATGTATTGATTTAAGATTCAATTTGGTAAAAAGGGATCCTGGATCCTGGCTATTAGGTTACCGTTACACGCGTGTACTCTGCAAGAACCTGAAGTGAGATCTGTGTGGGAAGACACGAACTGATCCTCGGCACACACACACACACATACATACACTATAACAGAATAAAGTTGCACTAACACATACATGCACACGCAGAGCTCGGGAGAAGTTCGCACAGACATAAAACTTTTCGCATGGAAAGAAAGGAACGGAGTGCGAATATGTTTGTGAAAATAGTTAAACACATGTACACGTGTATTCCGCCAGTCGGGAGTTTATTGCTATGTTAACAGTTCATAAGCTGCAGCTCCGTATTCCCGTGGCGCCTGCTGCCATTTGCATATTGCTTTTTGTTGTCAACGAACCGCAATTCGTAAACGGAAAAATACTTTTAATTTCCAAGAGCCCACGTGCATTTCCATGCATTCCAATAAACTCTCGAATTAGTTTTCTTTGTACGTTGTTGATCATCTGAAATATTTTCTAGGTTTTATTAGAAATTCTTTTATTTTATGATGAATATACAATGTCTTCGAGGATTTCTGAATTCGTTAGAGTGATATTTATGTAAGTTGGTATATTTGGTAGCACATAGTATCATGCTAAGCTACAGTTTAGTACTTAATACTAACACTTAACAGATATCAATAATTCTATCAAAACAAAACATTTGGAAAAAAAATCTAAATATAATTTCATGTAACTGAAATTCAACTCAAGAAACTAGCCATATTTGTATATGACCTAAGTGTTATGTCCCTTCATGTTATATAGTCCTTAGTAATATTTTAAATATGATTAATTTTTCTATTGTTTTAATGTGTGATTGTTATATAAACAAATATTGTATTACCTATGGAAAATAATGTTTTATGTACTTTTTTTTGTTTGATACGCTGACATAATTAATTTTCAATTGTATATAAATTTAAATTAAAATCAATATGCAATAATATTGTATGAAACAAAATCTGTACAAATATTTGTTTTTAATTAAATTGCTAGAAACGAAACAATAGTTTTGAAATTCATATACATGAATTTGCATTAAAATCCATACATGAGTGGCACACGAAAATATGTATTGTTTTTTCTTTCGTTTCTTCAATTGTTTTATTTTTGTTATAAATGCGTAGTTATTTATATTGACACATTTTGATTTGATCATTCTATAATATCCAATTAGTTTCATCAGCTGTATGTTATTGCGGATTAATTTATAAAAATTGTTATAGGGATAATTTCATGTATCCTATATTCATAATATTATAATACATGGAGAAGAGTTGTTGACTTTGGTTTCAAATTATAAGCGTAAGTAATTTTAGGTATTTGCACCCACCACACTACACTGATCTGTATACAACATCAAGTATTGTTTTTTTCTCTTTAGATTATGATTTTTAAACCTTCCATTTCTCTAATTCGATCTGTCCAATTTAGCATACTATATTATGGTTAAACACAACTTTACAAATCATTAAATAATTCTAACTAATTTTTAACTAATTTTTAACTAGATTATTAAAATAATTACAATAAATTGTAGATTAATAGATGCAATTTGATAGCATATAATGATATATTTCGATATATACTTTAGAATAGTTTAAAGCAGGGTTTCCCAAACTTTAAACATTGCAATCCACTTCATCTCAGCGCATTAAATTTTATATTTTTTTTTCTTTTTACAATATATACACTTAAGATATTGTCGCGAGCTACCAAAAATCAATTCACAACTCATCACACCAACAGTTTGGAAAACGCTAGTGTAAAAACTAATTCAGTTATGAAACAAAAGAATTAGTAAGGCGATCTAGTTTTAAATCAGCTATAGAAACAAGGAAGGACAGTATTTATCCATACCAGAAATGATTGTGATACTTAAAAGGAAGCAGTAAATTAAATTAACGGTTTGCAGTGAAGTCGTAGGTGGTAGATGTTGATGCGTTTGGAAGCACTGTTCCGGCGTCCTTAAGCGGCATCCCGAGTGCCGGTTATCGTTCCACTCATCGAATCGTTTTCCCCGGATCCACTCGTCCGTATTACCTCTTTCGTGGAAGTATTCAATTCACTCTTCGAAAGCCAACCCGATCCCATTATCAGGGAATAGATATGCAGCGACAAAGGGCGCAAATAAAGAGAGCGAGAGAAGAGAGCGGGATGGAAGCCGACGGGGTCGAGGTTTTGGGGGATTCGCGATTGAATAATCTCTCCTGAAGAAGAAAAAATATATATACTCCTAATCTCGGGAATTGGTTTAGACCCAAACGAAAGAAAATGTAAATTTCTATGCTAACTGCTTATCGTCTAACTTATGAGTTTCCGTTAATCCAATTAAAGCATATTTTTCTAAAATGAATAAAAATCCGAGTTCTTAAGTAAGGTAATGACTAGTAATTTGATTCAAATTGCTAAATAGTTTGTTTACGAATTACATGCCAAAACAGCTGCATGTGTATATACACACAATTTAAAATTGATTGATTTTTTCTGTATATTAATGATATTTGATCAAGTAGTATGTAGTGGGTAATTACGAGTTCAAAGTATATATAGAATTCGAACGAGATAACAAATACAACAAAACCTGATAACATATTATTATAATTGAATATAGGGTTCGTGAACAATTACAGTAATTCTAAATATACTTTGCATGTTTATCTATTTGTTGTATAAAATATTTCGTATTTATTTATTAATTTTCACCAACGGAGTATAATAGAGTATTATTAGTGGATCGATATGAATATAATATACAGTTGTGAATAAAAATCAAAGGATGGATTTTTATACGT